GGAGGGAGGATTATGAAATACTACTGTCTCCAACAGATTCTTCGATCAGTCTTTTGCCAAGTGAGAGTGCATTTTCCACATTTGCTTGGTCATCTTTTTTTTTTTTTTAAACAGGACATTAAACGACTTTACTACAAAGTTAAAATATGTGGTAGCCATTTGGGGGCTTTGGTCAAGGTTGATGCCGAGGTCAGTACTGGCAATATTACTTTAAATCAGGGGTGTCAAACTCATTTTTGTCACGGGCCACATTGTTGTGATGGTTTTCCCTCGGAGGGCCGTTATGACTGAATTTTGTAAAGCCATGTAAATGTTGAACCACCTCCACATATTTCATACACAGTGAACAACAAACTGATGGATAACAACAATAATGGCTTGTTTAAACACTGTTGTTATAGATTGGAGATGACAATTTTAAATTTTGGTTCAGACTTTAGCAAGTATCATGGAAGTTGACGTGCTTGATTTGCTCTCGCAGGCCGCAAACAATGATGTGGCAAGCCAGATCTGGCCCCCGGGCCTTGACTTTGACACCCGTGCTTTAGATTGTCAGGTTTATAGAAAAAACAATTTGTCTCTTTACTCTTCAGCAAGTCATACTCAACATGTGGCATGAGTACTGATAGTGGAACATGGGTTTCCTTTAGTGGTTGATTTTACACATTTATGGACAATTTTCATTTAAATTCTGTGGAATACATTCTAAATTATTCATGACTGAAGTTCAATTTTTGATAAACACTTATGCCAACTATACTACTTGAGATTGTTGTTTGTGAGTGTTATTTGAAGACCTGGGTATTTTGGGGCAATTGGTGTAAAAAGTTTGAGAACGACTGCCACAACAGTAAAATGAGGGACAATGTCGAGATAATGTAAAAAGAATGACAGAGCACTGTGTTGAACAAAAGGAACCACCGTGCCACACACTGGCTAATGCCCATGATATAAATGATGATCAGGAAGGTCAGGTCCAATCATTGGTAATGCCACGCAATTTTTGCTGAATTCTATTACACGGCACAGGGAGACAGAGCTGCTGACCTTTAAGATGCTTCACCCAGAGGAAATGCCAATTTCCAATATTTACTGACAGTGCAGCATTCTAATGAGCCCCTCCCTGCCAAAAACCTGTTGTTGAGTGCCACAGAGAAATGGCCAAAGGTGTTTTCTTTTTTCGGTCGTGTTTGTTCAAAAAATATGTAAGCATATCAAAGTAAAGCTCATGCACACAATGGCACTGACCCAACATTGTTACTGTCTAATCTATGATGCCACTCAAAGGTCAATCTACAAGTAGTGGAGGGCAAAGCCTTCATTTCTGTGGTGTAGTAGTCATTTGTTAAAGTAATAAACTGAACCACAGGACACATTTTAAAGAGAATTCCACCTCAAAAGATGCCACGAAGTCAGTTTAATGAGCATAGGGAACGAGCGCCATAAATCCAGTCATCTCTGCGGTGCGACACCCGTATCTCTGTTTGTTGGGCAACCGTTGCTCACCATCACTGGCAACTGACGACAAGTGCTAACGGCTAGCCACGGAAAGCAGTATTTCTGGCCATGAAGTGACCCCACCCTGCATCTTGTTGAAATTTCAAAGTGTGACTTTGAAAAATCAAGCATGCCTGCACATGACCCCAGTGAAGTTATGGGGTGCAGAAAATGGATGGATGGATGGATGGACGGACGGATGGACAGACGAAGGAAACTTCAGGGCACCGGAGTTCCAGCAAGGGGGCCACCCTCCAGCTGAGCATGGCCGTTTAGGGTGCCTGATATTCAAATAGGTGAAGGCAGACAGAAGCACTGGAGTTGGACGCCAACAAAAGCAAGCAACACACATGGCGCCAGCTGATGTTTTTGACTGATCTCAACCTAGCTAGCATAATAGCGCAAAATCCATCAAATAAGCATAAGGTAAAATTAGAATAAACTATTTAACATACAATGTTTCACATAATACTGCACATTTTAAGTGGGTGCATCTTATGTATGATTTTTTTTTCCAAGTAGACCCGTTCCTTGATATTGCACCAAATGATCTATAAAATACGTTCAGTCAGCTAACGTACGAACAATTCATTTTCCAAAAAGTTCATATCTTGTGTATTCAAAGAAAGCAAATCTGGCACAAGGGAAACTGCATCCAGTCTACACAATGTATATACAATGGTTTTGAATGGACACATTGTATCCGGTTCTTCTGCTGACTCCACCTCGACATGGGAACGGGGGGGATGGGCATCTTGCTGACGAGAAAGGGGTGTTTTGAGAGTCATTTTCCGATTCCTCCAAAGCAAACCAATACCATTGAAAACGCAAGCTAATATTTCCCTGATCAAAAACAGGCGAGAATTTTTGAGTGAAAGATGGCCGATCATGGGTGGACAAGCCCTTAACGACTGTAAAATGCTTTCAGGATGACGATGTCGGTGGCAACAGTTTGAAACATCAATATACGCAGCCCAACTGCAGTTGGGAAGGAGAGTCAAGATTTCCACCATACACCAGGAAAAACTTCAAAATAAAAAGTGTCCCTCGGCCGTGATATCCATGTATTATTTGGCAAGGTAAGTGTGATTTTTAAGTTGGACTTCTTACCGCGTCAGTGGCGTGCTACAACCATGCACAGCATGACCAACTGTTGCCACAGCTGGCTTGACTTACCTTACAGATGGTGCACACCAAATAAACGAGTAGCCGACCGAGGCAGGAAAAAAAAAGTTGTTTTTTTTTTTTAAGTTGAGATACTTGAATTACTTGAACTTGTTTCACAGCACTATGTTTATTGATGAAGTAGATTTATGGGCGGAGCAATTGATTCCCCAGCATGTTTGGATATCTGATGAAAATTTTCTGGCCCATTAAAAGGATTAAAAGGAGGAAAAAATGTCCCTGAATACCTTTCAATATTACATCGATAAATGTCACACCCAACAAATACGGCGAGCTCTTCATCGAACCAGACTTCAATTGACTGAAAGATGATCCTTGAACTACTGAGCTGAGAATTTATGGGGCTCACTTGGCGATTCTGATTCTCCAATACGGTACGTAATTTACAACCCTGCCTGCTTTTAGGCTTTTCAAGCCAGGGCCAAGATTAGACTCTGTCCAGCAACATAGCCCATGGATCCCTATAAATCTCCACTGATTGAATGCAAATTGGAAAAGTACACTATGTATGTCAGCATACATCATGAGGAAAAAAGGCTGTTTGCATGCGCACTTACACACGTGTGCTCATATGTACCTTTAAGTAGCAAACAGGCAGGAAACAGACATGTTAGGGCTACAGCGTGTCACATATTTGGTCATTTGTCTGCGAGGAGGCTTTGATATAATTCTGAGTTGCCCTGCATAGGAGGGTGATAAATTCTTAATAACTGCAGTGCAGACCCTACAGACGACACTGACCTAAATCCTACTGCTTATGTCTACACAGCTCGCTGCTTTCCACTTTAATAAGGGTCCATTACATGTTTTAATTTTTGCTAAAAAAAAATAAACCAAGCAACCAGCAAAATTTACCAAAATCATCTTCTCTGATTACTGAAATACAGCGTAACAAAGTCTTATGAAGGAGAATGAGGGAGGAGATGCTGTGCCATCAATGTGGGACCATCTGCTGATGTTTTATATGAGGAGTAAAATCTCATAAGCCCTCTACGCCAGAAGCACGAAGTGCATGTGATTAATATGCCTAGGTTAATGAGCAGGCCCAGCATTGACTTTGCTCTGCTGTCAGTATGGATGCATGCATCTTCGTGGTGATTCACTTAACTATTGCTGCTGGAGTATGCCGACATCATACACGACGCGGTGTGTGCTATAAGCAGGCCTGCGGCATCACCGTGCTTTGTTCGAGAAATGTCCTCAATATACATATACTGTGTGAGTAAATGCATGCAGTTTAGAAAGTGCCACCTGGCAAGTATACTGCTAATTAAAAGGGCAAAGCGCAATTAATGGATTCATCTCTCAGGAGGGATGTTCCTCTCTCCACAGAAATGCACTGTCCATTCTCTCAACCTATTCCAATCTATCTATCTATCTATCTATCTATCTATCTATCTATCTATCTATCTATCTATCATGCATATTATGCCTAAGTATGACAGGCTGCATAATGTCACACAGTTGTTTGAGCTTTGTAAAATAGATGGGATCTGAACCTGAGGGTTCTGCACAAAATGGTTATATTTGTTCAAACACCAGTCGCAAAAGCACCGATTGCGTTCACATACACGAGCTGAACACAAGTAGTGGAAAAAAATTAAGAAATTGTGGATTGTCGGGACAATAAATTTGTGCCCAAGTCACTGAGCCAGACCTCCAGGAGTCGTGGCTCAGTGGCAGATCCCAGAACCCAGAGAATGCGAGTTCGATGATGCCACGTCATCAGTAGGTGAATGAGGAGTCAGTATTTACAAGGTGGAAAAGCGCTATACAAGTGAAAGCCCATTTACCAAAGCCCATTTACATGAGATGTTCCGATATGCACACACTCACACCTGCACAGTTGCCCATCAGTTTTCTTTAGGGGATAGCACTGCTTTCATTAATGCTAATAAGCATCTTCAAACTGTGTCAGTGAGGCATTTAAAAAAAAAAAAAACATACAGCCAACGCAGCCCTTTCTCACTGACACTAATTCAAATGAAATGAATTCAAAAACTATTAAGACAGAGATTGTCATGTGGATCCAAGAGCACTTGAAACACGCTTATACAAGAACGATCCAGGTCTGGTTAATATTTGTAAGGGTGTCTTCATGAAAAACACAAATCACAGCAACTGTTAATGTCAGCAGGACTTTTCAATGTGAGCCTTTTGCGAGATGAAGGATGACTGTGTAAAACAGATCAAAAACTAACGAGGTGGATGTGTGTGCCATGAGTCGAGTCTTGCAGCAAACCAAATTAAATACACCTATGTCACTGAGCAGGACATTGGTGAGCTACATGACAACTTCTGGTGGTAGTGTAACTTACATTATCGGCAATGGTGCGACCCAACTTGTCCATTCTTGATCCCGCCTCTGCAATTTTCTTGGCAGCACTGATGACGTCCGATGTATTCTTAAGCGGTCCTTTCCCTCTGGGGAAGAAAATGTTAAAGATCAGTTGGCAGTTTCTGTTCTGTTAGACTAGCAGTCGTGTGCGAGTTGTTTTAGAGGGTGGTTTTCTCGTGAGAGCAAAACCTGGTTAGAAACTCGTAACGCACATCACATGCATAACTACAGGTCATAGTCAATGTGGAGTATTGAACAGGTGCCTGGAGTTCAATCCTTCTAAAGCACAGGTGTCAAACTCAAGGCCCAAGGGCCAGATCTGGCCCGCCACATCATTTTATGCGGCCTGAGACGGTAAATCAAACATGTCAACTTGTATCGTAGAAAGGGTTCTGTCAGTCGTCATCTGTACCTGTGGGTAAAAAACAAAAAACAAAAAAAAAAAAAAACAAAAAACAAAAAAAAAAAAACAAAAAAGGACGTTTCGCTTCTCTCACAGAAGCTTCGTCTCCGGTAGACGAAGCTTCTGTGAGAGAAGCGAAACGTCCTTTTTTGTTTTTTTTTGTTTTTTTTGTTTTTTTTTTGTTTTTTGTTTTTTACCCACAGGTACAGATGACGACTGACAGAACCCTTTCTACGATGGAACTTTCCTGTACGACTGAGAGCCTCCACAAGCATGTCAACTTGTATGAAGCTTGCTAAAATCTGTACCAACATTTCGAATTCTCATATGTAATGAATAAGAGCGATATTGTAAGCGTTTTCTTGTTGCCAAACCCATCATTACAGTAAATGTAACTATAGTTCAATCAGCCATTATTCTAGGCTTCTTTACATGGTTTCACAGTCATAACGGGCCTCCTCGGGAAATGGTAACAAGAATGTGGCCCGTGACAAAAAATGAGTTTGACACCCTGTTCTAAAGAATCCAAACGGATCCCAGTCTCATCTGTGCATGCAGCCAACCAGTATATCAACACTCGTAAAATTCAGCAATGGATCTCTGCATGATATCAGAGGTGCACAACAGCAACCTTTGAAAACTATTATTTTTGTCAGGCTCACCAGAAGTGTGTTCAAACAAGAATGTACAAAATCTGCATATGCTCCTTCTGTGAGTATCTTTGTGCAAGTTTCGAGTTCCACTTCAGGTGTTAATTATTAAACTGAATCTGAATGCAGACTTAATTATTAAACCGAATCTGAATGCAGGAGACCATGAAATCAGCCGACGAACAAAACCATGTCACTTAAAAAGGACAACAGGCATTGGCAACCCTTTTATAGAAGGCATAATTATTGTTGACACCAGAGAAGTGCTAAAAAGCATACTAGTTAATAAATTTGGTCAAGCAAAAACTTGAACACACTTCCACAGACCTGAACATACAACAGTAATATACTAGTGGGAATGTTTTCATATTGCTACAATTTTTGACCCTAAACAGGACGACTGAGCCCTGTGAATAAATCCACCGAAGCACTTTGCTATCGCTGCCCTAGCGCCCCCACCACCACAAGGGACTAAGGGACACATTTGGCAAGACACAAATTGAAGTCAACATAACTCTTTAAAAAAAAAAAAAAAAAAAGTCAACTTGAGGACAAATGGAAGTTTGCAACGCGTTCATTTTTCATTTACCCTATGATGCCCTGCTGTAAAGTAAGTCAGTGTCCAAATGTGAGCGGCTACAGCTAATAGCACGAAGTGGAATCTATCGAGGGAAAAGAAAGACCTTGGGGGAGAAGGATTACAATGGCTCCTGTGTATGTAACAAAACACACACACACACACACACACACACACACACACACACACACACACACACACACACACACACACACACACAGTCTCCACTAATGACTTTTGAATCACACTAGTTCTATGTGACCTTTGATGTATTGTAGGTATCAATAGAGATATGTTGACGCTAATATACATCCCTCTCTCATTTACATCGCTATATTAGATTTATTTCTTTACTTGGCGCAGCTGAGTGAATCTTTGTTGGATTCTTTTCCTTCTCTAAGTCCAAATTTGCTTGAATTTGTCAGTTCGTCTTGTCTGATCTAAGGTTGTAGTCGAGGGGGAGGGTCCCTGGCGCAGCACGGTGCCAGGGACGAGTTGCCCCAGCTGGGGCTCCTTTTCCCCGATCGATTGTGAAGCAACGCTCAGACAGATGAAGCCCTGGGAGGGACCAGGAGCTGCTCGATGCATTCGAAGTGTTGATGTTAATGTATTCTGCAATCCACACTAGCTCTTGTTGCTTGTTGAATTAAGGTAATGTTAAGGATAAATACTATCAGAATAGAGTAATTCTCACATCCAATTACCTATATTGTATTATAAAATGTTGTCCATCTTGCACAGCACTAAATCATATGGCGAAAAATCAGCTTGACCAATGAGCAACAAGCAGTGTTTTACAAATCAGCTCTGCACCCAAGAAACTTTGACCTGACCGGGGATAGGAAGAGTAACTGCTAAGCCGTGGTTTTGCCTAAACTTTGACAATTTTTTTTCCTACTGATTTTTTTTGGGGGGGGGGGGGTCATTTAGCACAGAGTACTTTTCTCGTTCTCGTTCTGACGAGAGGACACTTTGGGGAGATATTTATGGCCAGTCAAAGGAGTGAAAACCAGAGGTCTCGACACAGCTGCACGTGCCGAGTTGTCTGCCACATAGGACTGAGCCACAGCTGGCTACCTAAAACTGTACATCAGGTGGCCCCCAAATATATTGAATATCTCCAAGCCACAAATGTTTTATTCATAAGGGCCAACAGACAGCCATAAGAAATGCAAGAAGTCAACAAGAATCACTCTCACTCTGCAGATTGTCATGAGAGGTCGAGATCAATTACTTCGCAGAGCATTAACCTTGGCAAGGCATTGTGCCTGCTGAAGGTTGAAGGGGCAATAATATGGTCGAAGGTGGAATTAGCTAGCTACTGACCTTCTGCGTGTTACTATACAGTGCGGGCAAGAGGGAATAATATAAACATATATATTCACCCACACAATCCTTCATGTGCCCCCCATCTGCCATGTGATTCCATTTCATCTTTGTTCTCTTATCAGACTTCTTTTTTTTTTTTTTGCCAAGCACAACTGGGGTTATGTTTTCATTTGCATTGTATGCATGGATTGTATCTGTCCAATCGATGCATCTTCACAAATGTGTACTTTGTAGAACAATGTGAATGAATGTCTGTGTTGTCTTTCATGTTCTGTCAACACTGCATATCGCTGGCCGGGATCTCCTATGTCACAATTTGGCAATAATATATATATATCCATTTGCTCATCATTTCCAGTGGCCGGCTGAAGTGTCCATCAAGCACAGCATTACTTGTTTTGGAGGAATAGAACAGGGGGATCAACAAAGCAGACTCACCTGGTGAAGTCTGTCATCTCCATCATGATCATGCACATCTGCTTGGCCAAAACAATGATGTCATTGCCGCTGTCATCCCACTTGGATACCTCGGCATCCAGCTTGCTCTTCTCTTCCTGGAAGCTGGCGACTTGTTCAGCTATCTTTGCCTTCTGTTCCTGTGGCAACTGAGCCATAATAGCCTAAAGCAGGGAATAGTCGAAGGACAACGGGTTAAAACAGCACGCTGTTGCTGTATTGTTTAGGTTTATAGAATTCACCAGCATGGTGCTATAGCAAACCACGTTTCTTGATAAAACACCACAAATTGAAAATGGTCTTCACTTAAAAAAATAAATTAGTTACTGTAGGCATTTTTTGTTAACAAACACCTTTTTAAAATGAACCAAAGAATAGTAGAACATTTTACTTTTGCTGGCTTCTGATTTCAAAACAGCTTAATACTGTGCACAAACGTGTTTAGAACCATTTCTAACCACCTGTGGTGTGGACAATTGAAGGACAGCTTCAGAATCGAAAATAAGATAACATGACTGACATTTAAATCATGGCATAGGTAATAACACAGATTTTTAAAAATGGGTCAAAACTTTAACGTCCTTACATTTAAATAAAACCAATCGTTCCTTATATTGCATTTTTTCACATGGGTACACAAATTACCGGTAGGTTTAAACACACACACACACACACACACACACACACACACACACACACACACACAAAATATACCTATACATATGTACATTCTCCAAAATTAACGTGGCACCAAACAATGTGGGGCATCTTGTATATGCTCCCTCGCTCTCGCTCATTCTCTCTCTCATTATCAACAAAAACTCTACACTCACTCTTGCACTCTGGCCAGCAATCAGCTGGTCATCTTCTGTCTGCACACTGGTCCTGCTGCGAACGTCAAAGTCTTCAGTTTCAAAGTCGGAGTCGTCCAACTCTTCTGGAGTCTGTAAAAGAACAAAATGTATTGAGTTCTGTTCAGAGAAGCAGAAAAATAAATTAGCCCTGTACACCTACGATTATTTTCAATATTACAAAACACGAATGGAGCGTATCTGGGAAAAACACTTTGGCACGAATGGCATAACAATGACATAGGTCTGCTTCCTCTAATTTGGTATGTGAAAATGTAGATTTGAACAACACCACAAACATGTTCTGCTTGGGCAACTGTGAGGAAATGTAAAGAATAAGGTAGCATAAAAACATACTGTAAGCAGGATCCCATCTGGTATTCCTGAAAAAGGGGAGGATATAAGAGTTTGTGTACACCGAGTGTAAGCTTCTTCAAATTTGATCCGACACAATCTTTTAATATAAAACAGACCATATGCTTCTGTTTGTACACAAAAATTCAAACAGTATAACTTAATTACTCATGTACTTTTAGCTACAAAGGTGGTAAAGAGAAGATTGTTTATTACTATGTTGGTCGACTGAATAGCTCTACACCTCCCATCTTTAAACTACTTTGGAGTAGTTCCATCTAAAAATAAGTGAAGGTCCATTGTTTGATGAAATGTAGTGATGTCCTTATGCAAGGAAAATAATGTTCTCAGGTATGCTCAGTTACAAATCTGTACTGACTCACAGTCGTCTCTTTCAAGCCAGACAATGGTGTTCTGCGGCGCAGATATCACCTGCCGCGGCCTGAGCAACAGATGAACGTGGGAGGCTCACGGCAAACAGGACCTCATGTTTGGCAGTAAAAAGCAGCCCCCAACCCCCGATTTTTTTCTTTTTAGCAGTGCAAATGCTCATCTGCACTTAAGTAGGTTTTGTCAGGATAATAAAGTTTGTTTAATACAAGTGATAAAATATATCACTTGTATCATCTTATTTAAACTAATGATCGGTGATCTTTTTCAACAATACTGGCCTGACTACAAGGCCTCCAATTAACATTACTTGTCTGCGTAATAATCGATTCGGACACAACCATTTTCCCTCTGATGTTCGATTTACTGGCCAAGGCTTAGCATTCATCTGGGGTGAAATCACCTTGACCACCCAACTACAAAGAAAAAACAAAACACAAAAGGTAACACCCCCGTTTCTCACTGTCGGCAGCTCTCATGTTTATGATACTCATGTCTGATGTTTCTGTCGGATGGCAAGCCCGTCAGTCTGCTTTACGAATTAACCCTGACCAACACTCTTGCAAGGTAAACATCTGTTTGGGCTGAAATGGCCCAGTCCTGAAGGTTCTTACTTTATCAATTGGTTTTGGGTGCTGCAGAATGTCAGCTTGTTGCCTAGACTGTGTGGTTTTCATGAGCTTAAGTGTTTATTTACACCATTTCTAGAAGCAGGAAATAAGTTTTATTTTA